TTGCCACTAGTTAACAAGTCACTGCTTGTATCCCTTGCCATGTACCAGTCACATGAGCTGGTGTACAAAGAAGGGTCCAAATAGCAACTTATTAACTAGGGCTAATTTGCTGCTGCAAATTACACCACTAAACTTATGCCAGTGTTAAGTAAACAAACGGATTCTGACCAGAGTAATTTATATATTTTTTATTTGACGTATATATACATTATATATCAGAGATACCATTGTAATCTAAAAATAAAAAGTCATAATCAGCCCAGCAGGTTACGTGAAACATAAGGTAATTTTTTTGTAGCGGTTGTACATTTATTTGGTAGTTTCATGTTGTGTTGTTTTGTTGTTCTTGATTTGCAGTTTTATGTACCATTGCACAATAGAAATCCTTTGTCTAAATCCAATAGTTATACTCAACATACCTGCTGATCACTCTGTTTAATTTACTGATTTAAATATTCATTTTAAAAATATTTTCTTGGCAATGATTTCACAATTCACTCTATGTTATACTTAAAACACCAAGCAAACTTCAAACGAAAAATAAGATCATGCTCTACTCATCTGCATTATACAATAGGTTTGAATGAACCACTGTCAATTCACTCTGCACCATAACCACATTATCAAAATGAAGAAATGTTAATGGACACCAAACACTTTTCACATTAAAATGATTTCACTTGGACTTCACAAGCCATCACAAACTCTGGTCCCTGAAAGTTTGAGTTAACATTCAACAACAGGATATCAGCAATTTTCTTAAAAACCCTTGAAATGACTATTCAAACTGAAGTTATTTGCTTTCTTTTGTATTTGAGTGGAGTGTCACCTTTCAGATTCTTCAGTCTGTCTGTACAAAAGATCCTGAAAGCTCAAATGTATGGCAGCCTCACCAACAAAAGCAGGACCAATATTGACTTTGTGTCTTCAACTCTTTGAGATCGTATCAACAGCAAGGCTCCAAACCCAGCCTATCGGGTAATTCACTAGCCATTAAATACTGATGAATGTCAGTTAAATACATGGAACATGTTTTGATAGCCCGAATAGTATAGTACCCTTGGGGCCAGCTTATACAAATAGGTTGATCAAGGAGAAAAAGCTTGATTTAGACCATATATTGCTTCCTATTGCAAACAGAATGCTCCCATCACAATCCTTCAATTTACAATATTTAGACCATATATTGCTTCCTATTGCAAACAGAATGCTCCCATCACAATCCTTCTCCCCAATTTACAATTTTTCTAAAAGCATACATTTTTTTCTGATGCCGAGGAAGTCAAACATGTCGCTTGTCCTCCCCCCCCAAGTGACACAATGCAGTGATATCATAGAATATAGTTCGATTTATATAGATTTTGAGCACTGCACTTCCAACAACACTTTATGCAATCGTTCATACCAGGGATGTACAACTAACTGAACAGCACAATTCCTTGTTGCTAAGCATAATGCTCGGCACATTTTCTCCAGTGGAACTTTGTTATGTTAGCATGAATAAGATTTTGCCCAATTTCCTTCTCTTTTCTTAAATAATTAGCTACCTTTTTGTGCTGCAGCAAACATGATGAAACGTCTTTTAATACCCTGAATCGTTCATACCAGGGATGTACAACTAACTGAACAGCACAATTCCTTGTTGCTAAGCATAATGCTCGGCACATTTTCTCCAGTGGAACTTTGTTATGTTAGCATGAATAAGATTTTGCCCAATTTCCTTCTCTTTTCTTAAATAATTAGCTACCTTTTTGTGCTGCAGCAAACATGATGAAACGTCTTTTAATACCCTGAAAGGCTAACACATTTTATTTAGTATTTCCCGTCCCCCTGCAAATACACTTGTGGGTCAGGTTTACCTACACTACAGTGGCCAGAATTTTCTCTAGTTCACTGGTTCCCAACCTTTTCCAAACCATGGACCGGCTGGGGGGGGCGGGGGTCCATGAAGGGGCAGGGCACCCCCACACTTGTGAGTGGGTAAAGCGCACTCGCAGGTGGGCAGGGTGCACGCTTGCGCATGCGTGGGTGGGCGGGGTGTGCTTATGGTTGAGCAGGGAGCACGCTCGTGTATGCGTGGGTGGCCAGGGTGTGTTTGCGGGTGGACAGGGCACACTTGTGAGTGGGCAGGCTGCATGCTCACATGCACAGGTGGGCAGGGCGTGCATGCGGGTGAATCGTGGGTGCATGTGGGCGTGCGTGGGGGGAGTGCGTGCAGGGGGGAGGAGATCTGTCTCCATGGACCAGTCCTGCCAAGGCCACGGCCCGGTACCGGGCTCTAGTTTACACTGGCAGAAGTACAATGGTGCATGTAGGAGCAAATTGCCACTAGTTAACAAGTCACTGCTTGTATCCCTTGCCATGTACCAGTCACATGAGCTGGTGTACAAAGAAGGGTCCAAATAGCAACTTATTAACTAGGGCTAATTTGCTGCTGCAAATTACACCACTAAACTTATGCCGGCCCGGTACCGGGCTCTAGTTTACACTGGCAGAAGTACAATGGTGCATGTAGGAGCAAATTGCCACTAGTTAACAAGTCACTGCTTGTATCCCTTGCCATGTACCAGTCACATGAGCTGGTGTACAAAGAAGGGTCCAAATAGCAACTTATTAACTAGGGCTAATTTGCTGCTGCAAATTACACCACTAAACTTATGCCAGTGTTAAGTAAACAAACGGATTCTGACCAGAGTAATTTATATATTTTTTATTTGACGTATATATACATTATATATCAGAGATACCATTGTAATCTAAAAATAAAAAGTCATAATCAGCCCAGCAGGTTACGTGAAACATAAGGTAATTTTTGTAGCTGTTGTACATTTATTTGGTAGTTTCATGCTGTGTTGTTTTGTTGTTCTTGATTTGCAGTTTTATGTACCATTGCACAATAGAAATCCTTTGTCTAAATCCAATAGTTATACTCAACATACCTGCTGATCACTCTGTTTAATTTACTGATTTAAATATTCATTTTAAAAATATTTTCTTGGCAATGATTTCACAATTCACTCTATGTTATACTTAAAACACCAAGCAAACTTCAAATGAAGAATAAGACCGTGCTCTACTAACCTGCATTATACAAAAGGTTTGAATGAACCACTGTCAATTCACTCTGCACCATAACCACATTATCAAAATGAAGAAATGTTAATGGACACCAAACACTTTTCACATTAAAATGATTTCACTTGGACTTCACAAGCCATCACAAACTCTGGTCCCTGAAAGTTTGAGTTAACATTCAACAACAGGATATCAGCAATTTTCTTAAAAACCCTTGAAATGACTATTCAAACTGAAGTTATTTGCTTTCTTTTGTATTTGAGTGGAGTGTCACCTTTCAGATTCTTCAGTCTGTCTGTACAAAAGATCCTGAAAGCTCAAATGTATGGCAGCCTCACCAACAAAAGCAGGACCAATATTGACTTTGTGTCTTCAACTCTTTGAGATCGTATCAACAGCAAGGCTCCAAACCCAGCCTATCGGGTAATTCACTAGCCATTAAATACTGATGAATGTCAGTTAAATACATGGAACATGTTTTGATAGCCCTCTAGGAATAGTACCCTTGGGGCCAGCTTATACAAATAGGTTGATCAAGGAGAAAAAGCTTGATTTAGACCATATATTGCTTCCTATTGCAAACAGAATGCTCCCATCACAATCCTTCTCCCCAATTTACAATTTTTCTAAAAGCATACATTTTTTTCTGATGCCGAGGAAGTCAAACATGTCGCTTGTCCTCCCCCCCCAAGTGACACAATGCAGTGATATCATAGAATATAGTTCGATTTATATAGATTTTGGCAGGCAGTGCATCACGGCCTCTCCCAATTTGAAGAGACCCTTGACCAGCAGTTGTCTTCAGTGTGGAAGGGATTGTCACTCTCGAATTGGCCTTTTCAGCCACACTAGACGCTATTCCAAGTCCTCGATACAGAGCATATTACCATAGTCTCTCGAGACTGAAGGATGCCTAAGAATATAGATTTTTGACTCGTTGAATAGTTCAGTGGTTTAGGTTACTGGCTGCCGAGCCAGAGACTGGGAGTTTGATTCCCCACTGTGCCTTCTGTGAGTAGAGCCAGCCTCTGTGGCCTTGGGCAAACTACACAGTCTCATGGCACTCCCAAAAGAAGGGAATAGTCAGGAGTCTCTACCTGGAAAGGGCTGCCATAATTGGCATGGTAGCACATGAGGATGATATAGACTTTCATTGTTCAGCACATTGCAGGGCAACATACAGTGACTGTGTAGCAACGCCAGTTCATGCTCACAATACATTCCTAGAACATAGTGTGGCAACCGAAACGGTGGTAAACAGAATCTTTCTAACATTGTATTTCATTGGATAGGTGAAAATACAAATGAAAAACTGAGTGGATTTCAAGTCTGTAACGTCAGAGAAGGGGGAAGAAGAAGAAGAGCAGAAGGGAAAACGTGAAAGAAGGAATGTTGAGTTATATGTAACATTAAAAAGTAGGCAAAAATGAAAGAGAGAGAAAAGGAACTGCAGCTGTCCTATGTACCCAATGCCTCTGCCACCTTAACGGAATGGGAAGGGGCCAGTAAGTGAGGAGAGGTTGCAGAAGAACTCTCCACCAACCAACCAATTGCTTGCATACATGTGTGGACAGCATATGTGTTTCTGTCTGGAAGAATGCATGTGAAACAGAGCTGGGGTGGGGAAAATAGAGGGAGAGAAGAGAATGGAGAAAAAGAGATGGGCAGTTTACCCCAACCAAAGAATTGGCTGATTGCCTCTTGAGAGGATGGAGAAAAATGTACCCTGACGAAACACTGCTAAACATGGCAGCGTTAAGCAGGGTATTACTGCATGTAGCAAAAGACAGGTAAAGGTTTTCCACTGTGTCTTCTAATTTACTAAAAACTGAATGACCAAAGAAGCACTCTCTTGTTTCTTAGCACCTGTCAAGAGAAAAACCAAGGAATAATTATATAAACCCAAGCACACTGTCTCCAGTTACCTGCCCAAGATCTAAAGTAACATTGACTTCGTTGAATTCCAGCCTACGAGAAAGAGGGGGACTCTGCCACCAGCGCTCAGTGCCGTCTATAGCATTGGTGATGGGATGGGCTTTGTTGCTGATTGCTGATGAACAAATGTCACAGTATTGTCCCTGTAGAGAAGAACATATAAAGAAAAGGTTAGAAACAAGAGATGACCACACTTATTTATTCATGAATAAAACCAATTCACTCCCAGGCTCTCCAGCAAACTATCTCTTACAGCCCAAAATCCTCATATTAAAGAACAACATGCTGCTTGTATGCATCATTAACCATTGATCACACAATAACAGCTTTCTCTCCAGCTCTTTTCATGGGGTCTTGTCCCAAAATAACTCCTCCCACACTCACACAGAGGCCCTCAAACGTCTAGACCTCTTTTTGGTTCAGCAATTGCAAATAACACAAATATTGCTCCTTATCGAGTTCCATATCTAGAAATGAAGAAAGGCGACATTCCTTCTTCCGGCTGCAGTGCCATTATTGCTCTGAGGAAAAAAAAAATCTAAGACAAACTAATTGCCTACAACTGGAATAAAGGAGCCAAATCAAGACAGTGATTAAGTTTTTTCTGGGGCATTTTAGTTAATGGCTCAGCACAACCATATATATATGAATATAAAAGAAATATTACAGAATGGGCTGTATTAAATATCATGCTATCAACGTTCAGGTTTATATATAAGGAGCCAAAGCAAGACAGTGATTAAGTTTCTTCTGGGGCATTTTAGTTAATGGCTCAGCACAACCATATATACATGAATATAAAAGAGATATTACAGAATGGGCTGTATTAAATATCCTGCTATCAATACCAAGCCAAACGTATTTTATTTAACAATCAAAGGGACATGAACATTGCAATTAGCTTGTGCTATATTTATTTGTGTATTTTACATGTTTTTAGAAAGGAAAACACTAGGTCACAAGTACTATCTCAGCAGGAGTATAATGTGCTAACAGGGCTGTTGGCCTTCTGCTCCAGCCATAGACTGGATCAGTGCCTCCATTTTGACCTGCTGTTAGTTGCTATGGCAACCACACCACTAGAGAGCAGGCCAAACTGCCAATGTTTGAAGGCCCCCTTGGCACTTTGGTAAATGAAACGAAACCAAGTGTTAAATGGAAACAAACAAACAAAAAAAAAAACATTCACAGACTACCCAAAGTTATCTCTGCTCTTTCAAATTTGTCTCCGGACCAATGAATAAAATATATAGTTTCTTAAGACTGCACACACCCCAATGTGGTTCATATTACAAAGATTACAATTTTTTTGTTTTCAAACTACATGTATGTTATATGGGAAATGATGGGAGTTGTAGTGCAAAAACACAAATGTGCACACTTTTAGTTTATATCGTCTTAACAGAAGAAGAAAGCATTTTCTACTTCCTTAAAGTACAGTCTTCAGAAAGAGAACCACCTGAGACAGCAGCCACTGACACCAACATCTGCATCTATTTAGGTGGACCAAATTCATTGGCCACCTGAAAAGAAACAGAGAACCCCCTATGATCTTCTGCAGAGCCTTGGAGAAGGAAGACATGGCATCCAATTTTGCAATGTTAGATGTCTGGAACATATCTCCCTTTTAATTAACTTGCCCAGAGACAGGGTATGTCAGTCAGAGGAGTATACAGTGAAGGGCTAGAACCAGCTGGAATATTTCCTGGCTATGTCATCAGGGGTGAGAGATTGCTACTCTGGATGAATTTTATCTGGGTGCCACCACTGCCCACCTCTCACAGAAGAAGAAGAAAAAAGAATCAGCTGCAAAACTTCCATTTACATGTTTTCTTATAATGGGATGCTCTGGGCTTCATTGGATGAATTTTATCTGGGTGCCACCACTGGCCACCTCTCACAGAAGAAGAAGAAGAAGAAGAAGAAGAAGAAGAAGAAGAAGAAGAAGAAAGAATCAGCTGCAAAGCTTCCATTTATATATTTTCTTATAATGGAATGCTCTGGGCTTCACGGCCTTTGAGAACAAGCACCCATTTTTGGGACTCTGCTGCCCATCGGATGGCTCAGGCGAGGGGGAATCAACGAGGCTCATTCCGAAAGAGGACTGGACAAATCAGAACCAATCCTTTCAGAAGAAGTCTACCACTTAATACTAACTGCTGCCAAGTGTGGTTAGCCACACTGGGAAACAAGACATTGGCTTAAAACCCAATTGGTTCCAATGTTTTTATTGGGGCAAGGGAGACTTCCTAGGCTTGTAACAACTATAGGGGAGTATGGCAAAATTATCCCCATTGACCCTAACGGGTGTTCAGGACCTTTTAGAGTGAATACATAGGCGTTTTTTTTCTGCACCATCCACAAATGGTCCCTGCAGGCTGAAAGCTTGCATTTGTTTATGTTTTTTTATGATCTACTGGAGGAAATTATCCCCATTGACCCTAACGGGTGTTAAGGACCTTTTAGAGTGAATACATAGGCATTTTTTTCTGCACCATCCACAAATGGTCCATGCAGGCTGAAAGCCTGCATTTGTTTATGATTTTTTTTGATCTAGTGGAGATATTGGGGTACCCAGTATGGACAGAGTAATGGAATAGAACTCAGAGGGTTCTATTCGCCAATTCTGCCATGGAAACTCACTGGGAGGTAAGTGGAACTAGTAAAACCACTCCTTAAATACTCTGAACTCAGAGGGTTCTATTCGCCAATTCTGCCATGGAAACTCACTGGGAGGTAAGTGGAACTGGTAAAACCACTCCTTAAATACTCTAAAAAAACCTACTTGTGTCACTGTAAATAAGTTCTGACTTGACACCACATAGCAATGCTTCTTTTTTTTATTTATGTATTTATATTTTATATGCTGCCTTTCTCCCCACAGGAGACCCAAGGCAGTTCACTACAATTAAAATACAATAGTAAGTTTAAAATACTATAAAGGTAAAGGTTCCCCTTGACAATTTTTGTCCAGTTGTGTTCGACTCTAGGGGGCGGTGCTCATCCCCGTTTCCAAGCCATAGAGCCAGCGTTTTGTCCGGAGACAATCTTCCGTGGTCACATGGCCAGTGCGACTTAGACACGGAACGCTGTTACCTTCCCATCGAGATGGTCCCTATTAATCTACTCTGCGGTTGAGCCCACAGCGCCACCACGGTAGCGCTGTGCGCTAAACTCCAAGGCAGTTCACTACAATTAAAATACAAGTTTGAAATACTATACAAAACTATATATTTAAAAAAATAAATAAACATTGGTCAAGATTAAATAGAGGTATCACCTAACCCTGCCTTTGGAGTACAAATTCAATGGCACATAACAATTGCAACCACATTGGTGTTGTTGTTTAGTCGTTAAGTCATGTCCGGCTCTTTGTGACTCCATGGACCAGAGCATGCCAGGTCCTCCTGTCTTCCACTGCCTCCCAGAGTTGGGTCAAAGTCATATTGGTTGCTTTGATGACAATGTCCAATCATCTTCTCTTCCATTGTCCCCTACTCCTCTTGCTTTCACTTTTTCCTAACACCAGGGTCTTTTCCAGGGAGTCTCCTCTTCTCATGAGATGGCCAAAGTACTGGAGCCTCAGCTTCAGGATCTGTCCTTCCAGTGAGCACTCAGGCTTGATTTCCTTCAGAATGGATAGGTTTGATCTCCTTGCAATTCAGGGGACTCTCAAGAGTCTCCTCCAGCACCACAATTCAAAAGCATCAATTCTTCAACAGTCAGTCTTCGTTATGGTCCAGCTCCCACTTCCATACATCGTTACTGGAAAAACCATAACTTTGACTATGCAGACCTTTGTCGGCAAGGTGATGTCTCTGCTTTTTAAGATGCTGTCGAGGCTTGTCATCGCTTTCCTCCCAAGAAGCAGGCGTCTTTTAATTTTGTGGCCGCTGTCACCATCTGCAGTGATCATAGAGCCCACAAAAGTAAACTCTGTCACTGCCTCCATATCTTCCCCTTCTATTTGACAAGAGGTGATGGGACCAGCATTAGAAAATGTTACTTCTACTAGTTTTCTCCCAACAATGAGCATTTTAGGATACAAAGAGCATTTTAGGATACAGTAGTAATGTATAGTCTTGAATAAGGAAAATAAAGTTCAACGATCTGGTAGACAAATAGCTAAATCTTGTTTACAGAACACCTGAAAAGACAAACCCATCAACCCTGTAGATCTAAGGAAACTGAAATAAAAAACTGAGGAGGGGAGAGATTGAATTACAACAACAAGGTTTTCTCAGGAAAGAGATGGGGGACTATTGAAATGGTAATGGAAGACAAAGAAGATACAAAAAGGTTTAAAGAATTTAATACCTCTGCTATCAGCACAAACAGAGATAAGCAAGCATGTTTGAATGGGAGACCTTCCTTTCAAGGAATTACAAATCTAATCCTTTCTCTCATTTGAATCAAAGGGACTCTTAGAAGTCTTTGAAGAGTGCAACATAAACCTGTGAAGAAGCAAGAGACAGATGCAAGGAAACTGGCAAAGAAAATGCCAGCATTTTTTGCTTTACCAGGAGAGTCCATTACACCCAAATTCCCCTAGTCATACAACTCTATTTTATACAAGAGATCACGGAGTAGCAATAACTGAAGACATTCCAAAAGAATTATTCAAGTCCTTGCAATGAGGCAAATATTATTTAGAAGCAATTTTCCAAATCACAATTGATAACAGCTAAGAGACAGCAGTATAGAATAAAAATGACTGATTTCCCATCTCACAAAGGGTAGACATTAGGAAATCCTAATTCAAAACAAAACTTCATTATGTTATCCAGTAGCATAGTGATAGCAGTGATATTATGCTATCACTATGCTATCCAAAGAGAACAACTCTATCCATTTTGAAGGAAATCAACCATGAGTGCTCACTGGAAGGACAGATCCTGAAGCTGAGGCTCCAATACTTTGGCCATCTTATGAGAACAGAAGACTCCCTGGAAAAGACCCTGATGTTAGGAAAGTGTGAAGGCAGGAGGAGAAGGGGTCAACAGAGGACGAGACGGTTGGACAGTGTCATTGAAGCAACCAACATGAATTTGACCGAACTCCAGGAGGCAGTAGACATCTATCTATGTAAGCCGCCCCGAGTAGACACTGTCTAGAGGGGTGGGGTAAAAATCTAATAAATAAA